AAAAACCAAATCCAACCTTATTAAAGAGCTTTTAAGTACTCCCAAACACGCACCAAGTCCTTAACTTTACTATAAGCAAAATTCTAGGGTAAATTAAACTATTGACCCTCAAATTATTGATCTATTACAAGTTAATCCCTCATCTTTAAATCAAGTAAATATATTCTTAACCTTTTTATTATACTTGTCCAATCAATCCCAAGTAACATAAATCGTTCATATATTTATTAATCCTCCCATGCTCTCACATTTCTAATTTCACAAAGTTCGATTTTAGTTCAGACTTGGTTGATATCTAAAGTTTTAAAGTAAATGGACAATTTAATGCAAATTCGAGTCATTTTTATTGACGACTAATTATGCGATATTATAATAGATTAAAGAACAAATTATTATTTTCAAAGGTTGAAGATTAGTTTGTGATGGAGCAATAGGTTGGGACCAATAATGCAATATTGCCATTTCCCACCCCCCCTACTAAAAACTTGGACAAAATCCATTGTGACATTGACCCACGTAAGCATTTGCAAGTGGACCCCACTTCTTCTAGACCACCTTCGGCCCCACCACCACTTGTAATCTCATCACTCGTTAGCTCATAGTCTTCTTAGACCACTACATCACCAAAATTCTACTTACAATTAGGTATGTGTTTTAATCATTGTAAGTGAAGAATCACATTTTATGAATTATTCCGTTGTAATTGAATGGAATTTTAATATTTCTAAACTTAAGCCCCTGATGACTTTTCTATACAATCAAGTCCATCGTAAAGTAAATTACGTTACAAGATTCCATCATTGTTTCGTTAGAGTAAAAGCGAGATTGGACCAAGTTGCCTCCCAATCAAGAACTCGAGTCGTAGAATTGAATTATACTTATAGTGACCAAAAATTTCTTGGCTATTCGAGTCCTTCCAAGAGACATAGGCTGACCTTATATGTCGTGTTGGGTTATAAAAGTTTTATGAATAATGATCAAAACGGAATGAAGAGTTTTGCTAATTGAAATGTTAAGGATGAATTATGATCCAAAATTGATCGAGGGTATATTTATTACATTTCATAAAGGTTGAGGACAAAAAATGCATCACTTTCCTTTATTCTATTCCTAGTAAACTAGACACTAGAAAAAGCAGAAATGAAACTTAAAATGAAACAAACAAAATCAGATTATGTTACGTTTTCATTTATTTATTTATTTGAAGTGTATTTGGTTTTTATTCATATATAAGCAAAAAAATTAAAAATAAAAATCGATTTTCTGGAAAAACTGGAGTAAAATATTTCATTATTCACTCAACTTATAGTTGGTCACGATTTATTCAACAAACTTCAAGTTATTTCTTCGTGGTCACTCATTTTTGAGACATTGCGCTTCATCCATCATTCATCAAATTCTACTTCCCTTGTTACTGATATGTGAGATAAAAAATTCATGCGGCGTGTTGGTCATTAAAAAATGACAATTCAACCAAATAATATGTTTCATTGCTCACATAAATTACGTGGTCACGGTTTACTTATCAACTTAAAAATTATTTTTCAATGATCACTCATCTTTAAGAAGTTGCACTCCAACTATCATCCACTATCTGCTAGTTTTAGAGTTATGTAGATCATGTGTTTTTCTTGTTTGACAATGCTTCGATTATAGCAACATGTTTATAATAAGTGCTTGTTAGGTAGGGATTTTTGGGGGAAAAATTAATTTTTGAATAGTGATATGATGGGAAATGTGTGGTTGAAAAAGAAGAAAAAAAATATTGATGTGATGGAAAATATTATTTTATTGAAGAATGTGTGGTTAAAAATAAGAATTGATTTACTGTAGAANCGTTGTAATTGAATGGAATTTTAATCTTTCTAAACTTAAGCCCCTGATGACTTTTCTATACAATCAAGTCCATCGTAAAGTAAATTACGCTACAAGAATCCATCATTGTTTCGTTAGAGTAAAAGTGAGATTGGACCAAGTTGCCTCCCAATCAAGAACTCGAGTCGTGGAATTGAATTATACTTATAATGACCAAAAATTTCTTGGCTATTCGAGTCCTTCCAAGAGACATAGGCTGACCTTATAGGTCGTGTTGGGTTATAAAAGTTTTATGAAAAATGATCAAAACGGAATGAAGAGTTTTGCCAATTGAAATGTTATGGATGAATTATGATCCAAAATTGATCGAGGGTATATTTATTACATTTCATAAAGGTTGAGGACAAAAAATGCATCACTTTCCTTTATTCTATTCCTAGTAAACGAGACACTAGAAAAAGCAGAAATGAAACTTAAAATGAAACAAACAAAATCAGATTATGTTACGTTTTCATTTATTTATTTATTTGAAGTGTATTTGGTTTTTATTCATATATAAGCAAAAAAATAAAAAATAAAAATAGATTTTCTGGAAAAACTAGAGTAAAATATTTCATTATTCACTCAACTTATAGTTGGTCACGATTTATTCAACAAACTTCAAGTTATTTCTTCGTGGTCACTCATTTTTGAGACATTACGCTCCATCCATCATTCATCAAATTCTGCTTCCCTTGTTACTGATATGTGAAATGAAAAATTCATGCGGCGTGTTGGTCATTAAAAAATGAAAACTCAACAAAATAATATGTTTCATTGCTCACGTAAATTACGTGGTCACGGTTTACTCATCAACTTAAAAATTATTTTTCAATGATCACTCATCTTTAAGAAGTTGCACTCCAACTATCATCCACTATCTGCTAGTTTTAGAGTTATGTAGATCATGTGTTTTTCTTGTTAGACAATGCTTCGATTATAGCAACCTGTTTATAATAAGTGCTTGTTTGGTAGGGATTTTTGGGGGAAAAATTAATTTTTGAATAGTGATATAATGGGAAATGTGTGGTTGAAAAAGAAGAAAAAATTATTGATGTGATGGAAAATATTATTTTATTTAAAAATGTGTGGTTGTAACTCGATCGCGATGACCCAAGGAAAAAAAGGGTATATAAACATTTTCTATTGACTTTCTTCGAAGTTTAAATACGAGAGATGGTATAACGTAAAAACCATTAAGTTGTCTTTCTTGACATAAAAATATTAGGTTGTATTTTACATAAGTACAACAATAAAGAAGTGACAATAAAAAGTGTGTAAACCTCAAAATGGATTCTTACACTATCACATCCACACAATAATTCTACAAAAAACGATCTCATTAAAAAAAAAAAAAAAAATTAAACTAATTGTACACAATTGGTGTACATTAAGGTTGACACTTCACGTGTTGTCGTTATCAATATCATTAATTGTTTAAAGTATTGTTAAAATCAATGTGTAAAAATCTACAACCTTACAATAATGTCAAATTTAATGTCAACAAATATGTACATGTAGGATGATCGATTCGAAAATGAAAAATGCTATTCATCCCCACTTGGAATATATTCCTAGTCTATGTGGCGTTAACGTGACATTAAATGATAAGTGAAATTAAATAAGTTATTTTATTTCACCTATCATTTAATCAATCATTTACATCCACATAGATTGAGGATGCATCCCCACTGGGGATGAAAAGCATTTTTCAGCTTCAAGTACAATTGTTACAATTTTCACCATCCAATAATCAATTTGGACACGAAATAGGAATTAACCAGTTACACCAAAGATGCGGTCAACACCCCAAAACATCTACAGGACATTAATGTTAATAAAACATTAAATACCCCTAAACATGAGAAAATACTATAATACTCCCTCAATATTAAAATTTAATTGTTCATTTCATTTCTTAACCTATAAACAAATTATTTCTCTTACACTTCCTAAATTCTCTTCTTCCTACTTTAGATTTAGAGATGGCAACAAGGCGGATGAGGCACGAGGAGGGACAATCCCTTGGTGTGTTTATTGTATTGATTTTGATTATTATTATTATTTTTTACTTGGATCAACTCCTCACCATATTCGAGGTACAAATTTATTATAAACATGTTGATATGATTGAAAAACGTTTTCGACCAAGAAAAAAGCCTGATTTGCAAAACCCTGAATTTGACGAATGATTGATGTAGTGCAACGTTTAAAAGATGAACGACCGTTGAGAAGCAATTTAAAATTTGATGAGAAAACTATGACCATTATATACATTGGGTGAGTAATGAAATATTATAATGACATATTTTGGTTGAGGCGTCTTTTTATAACATGACATGTTATACGTTAGCTACGATATGAACAAAATCTGACGTATGATGAATGGAGTACAACGTTACTAATTAACGAAAAGCATTTTCAAGTTTTAGGAAATTTTGACTGCGTAAATTGGGTGAGAAACGATACGTTTTACTCGTAAAACTAGTCGTTGCCTCCCCTGCGTCACGTCCTTCGACTTCTTCTTTGCCAAACTTTTTCTTCCTATTGAATTCCTTCTCTGAGAGAGAAAGAGTCAGGGATTTTAGAGAGAGAAACGGATTTGGGACGTCGTGGCTGTTACGTTTATCTGCGTTTTAGGTTAAATTGAAATTTCAGAGAAATGGCGTGTGTCAACAACGAAAAACATCCTGAAACGCAAGAACCCAGTATTGATACAGACAAACTGAGCTACGAGATTTTTTCAATATTAGAGAGCAAGTTTTTGTTTGGTTACGATGACCAGAAACTTTGGGTTCCCAAACAAATTGTTCCTGCGAGTGAACAACCCAAAAATGACGTTGTATTCACCGCCTCATTCGACGACGACGGCGTTCAAGCGGTCAAAAATCAGAGAGGAAAAATCTGCATTTTGAGCATTGATGGTGGTGGAATGAGAAGCATCATATCGGGCAAAGCATTGGCGTATCTGGAAACTGCTTTAAAGAATAAGTCTGGAAATCCAGACGCCAGAATCGCCGATTACTTTGACGTCGCCGCAGGCACCGGCGTCGGTGGAATTTTCACAGCGATGCTCTTTGCCACCAACGATCGGAATAGACCGGTTTTTCACGCCGATGAAACGTGGAAATTCCTCGCTGCGGAGGGCAAAAAAATCTATCACTCCTCAAAATCAAATCATCCTAAGGCTAATTTCTTCAAGCGAGCCTTTAATAAAAAAACCGGCAGTGATAACGCCACCACCGGTTTAGAGATGGCGATGAAGGCGGCTTTCAAAGATGAAAAAACCGGCCGGAATTTAACGCTGAAGGACACATTAAAACCGGTTTTAATTCCGTGCTACGATCTTTCTAGTACGGCGCCGTTTTTGTTTTCCCGAGCCGACGCTCTGGAATCGGACGGCTACGATTTTAAGCTGTGGGAAGTTTGTCTAGCCACGTCAGCCGAGCCGGGCGTGTTCGACCCCGTTTGCATGGAGTCAGTTGACGGGTCGACCCGCTGTGTGGCGGTGGACGGCGGGTTGGCGATGAACAATCCGACGGCAGCGGCTATTACGCACGTGCTGCATAACAAACAAGAGTTTCCCTTTGTGAGAGGAGTTGAGGACATTTTGGTACTTTCACTCGGTTCGTGTGGGCAGCTATTGGAAGGGAGCTTCGACTTCGACCAAGTCAAGAAATGGAAGGCCAAGGATTGGGCTCGGCCCTTGGCTCGGATTTCGGGTGATAGTTCGGCCGAGCTGGTTGACCATGCCGTGGCTATGGCATTCGGCCACAGCCGGAGTGGTAATTATGTTCGAATCCAGGTAAATAGTATTTTAATCTACAACTTAATTTTTTTTATATTTCCTATATTGACGGTTGTTCAATTTGGAGTTTTTTTGCTTCCAAATTTGGAGATAAAGTGCTTTAAATGCAAGCCAATGGAGTTTTGGAAGTTTTTGGGTACAATTTGCATGGCGATAGGGGCAGGGATTAGGGGGGTATGGACTAATTTCAGCAGGTAGACGATAAGAGCAACGTTGTAATTGCCAAATGCCAACCCAAAATGCTCTGTTCGACATTGACATAGGTTATTAAGATAATATCTCTGTGTTGATGAAGATTTTTCTTTTATTCTTTTTCAAATCAAACCACATGTTTGCTCGACTAACTGAATCTTTTCTCATTGTTCCGTTTGGTTGCTTTGTCAATTTGATATACGTTAGAATGAAGGGTTAAAATTTATGTAGGTTATGAATCTTGACAGTTTTCCAACATGGGGAATGTTTTTGGAATCCTTTTTTAAGGCTATCAATTGATAATAGCTACTTAAAAGTGAGATACATGATTCTACTTGCAGTAGAGAATTTGATTCAGTACCAAAATGTACAAAGTATGGACATAATGTTATCTCTTGACTTACACTAGAATGGACCAGAAAGTGGTCTCTGATTTTGCCATTCTTGTTTCTTGACTAAACTTGTTTCGTGTCAACTACATCAACTTTTTTTTGCCACTCCCTTTTATATTTTCTCCTGAACAGTGAAGATAAAAAATTTGTATCTATAGGTCTGGCTTCCTCTGGGTGGAAGTCCCAGCGGAAGTTGCAGTGAGATCATGTATTTCATTTTTGGCTAATCTTAAACAAAATAATTTAAAACTCCCATATAAATTTGGTAGAGCAAATGATTAACAAGAATCCTATTGGATCATATGTTAAAGGAATATTTAATTGAATCCTGCTTTTTTTCATCAAATACTGAGGTGGGAAACTGTCTGTTTTTAAAAGATTGCATAAAATTCTATTAAATAAGTTTTCTCATTCTTCTGTTTTGTATATAGATTATCAATGCATACTAACACACACACGAATGGCAGGCAAATGGATTGAGTTTTGGCCGTTCTGGGGCGAATGTCGACACAGATCCCAGTCCTAGCAATGTAAAAATGCTAGCTGGAATAGCTGATGAAATGCTTAAACAGAAGAATGTAGAATCCGTTCTCTTTAGTGGTAAGAAGATAGGAGAACAGATCAATCTTGAGAAACTCGACTTATTTGCTGAACAACTTGTGCTCGAGCAACAGAGGAGGAGTTGCCGAATAGCTCCCACTGTTTCATTCAAGCAAGCTCCCTCAAGATCTTCTTAAACAACTCCCAATAGCAACAAAGTAGGAAAAACAATGTGAGTATTCTTCTTTTGACAACTTCAATTTTCATTTTCTTGTCACGTCTAGTTGAGCACATTGATAGCGAACAAACTGTTATGAATTAAGATCTAATTATAATAAATCCTTTGTTTACTAGGAATATTAGGTTGATATGCCGTTGAAGAGAGATGTTTATGGTATGACTAAGTTCTGCACAATCCATAGACTCCATGCATCTTCCTCATAATTGGTACCATAATGTTGTGCATTCTATCTTTTCGTTGTATTACATATATCTTGTGTGAATCCTAATCACGGGAAGATATTGTTGTTGTCCATATCTATGTTCAATCTTTTCCCTGTAATACATATATATTTTGTGAATATTGTTGTCATCGATATCTACATACCAGCCGGAGCCCGATGGGCTCAGTCTTGTCACTTTCTACCTAGGAATATCCAAGTTCATAACAAAGGGTGGTTGTTGCATTAGTTCTATACTTCTATTTGAAAGTTTTTCCACCGAGACTGACTCTTGGAGGTGAGAGGGTATATTTGTCATTTGGGTAAGTAGGGTAGAGTTGAAAAGGATGTGGGATGAGGGGAAATGGCATATTTGTCATTGGCCTAAGTAGGGTAGACTTGATTCATTTGTGGGGTTGGGCTCTCGGGGGAAGGGGCTACGGAGTCCTTTTTAGGTCTTTTAGGAGTGGGAGCAAATCTAATTGTTGTGGGTTAGAGACACAACGATGGTGAATCATGTGTTTTTTTTTTAAACTGCAGTGTTGGATAAAAGGGCATTCTTTTGCTGTTCCAGTTTTCTCATGGCATTATTTCTACCTTTTACTTTATGCATTAGACAAATATTTCATGTTTCTTTTTTACCACTGTCATTAATATTTTGTAGTATTTCATGATATTGTTCGTCTAAAAAGAAAAGTTGATCTATGAAAAATATCCATTTCTGTGATATCGTGACAATTATTCTTTTTTGTCCATTCTTGAGGGGGTCTATTAATGTTTCTTGTCTGAAATTTTCTTGGGGTGCTCAATGCAAAAAAAGACATAAAATTTTTGAATTGGAATCCTAGGATGATTAATCATTCTTAACATAGTTACCCTTTGGTTTTTAAAAGTTGGTGAATCCGAAAATGTAACAGCAGACAGTATGTCCTAAAACAAGATTAAGTAAAGCAAAATAGTATGCTTTATGGTTTTGCATGTTGTGCTTTTTTGCTGTACTGTTTGTAGATTAGATTTGCATTAGCAAAGCAACGTGTTATTTCCGTTTTTTTTTTTTGGCTTTATAAGTTTTGTGGATAATAATTAAATAAATAAATTTGTGTATTTAGAATAATTTAAACTTTTGGATGAGCTGTTTCAACATAGTATCGAAACATGTAAAGGTTCTAGTTTTGATGCCACTTGTGAAAATACACGCATGTAGAAGAAAGGGGCTATGACTATATGGGATGTAGTATTTATCATACTGAACAAGATAATAGTCCATATTTTCATATCGTTTTTCTTGTTTAGTCCCCGTTTGTCTCCCATTATTTCAAAATATTGTTTGCTACAGTAAAATTCTCCATCACACATTCACCCAATAAAATATTCTACACGCAAACGAATAAAGTTACTTTAAATTTCAACCACACATTCTCCAAAAAATACTATTCATGACTCCATTTCTTCTACAATCATGGGAGACAAACACACACTTAATAGTATCTACTATTGTCTAATACTATCTTTTAGTGTGAAACTTTGAAACAGGGTGATTAAACATGTGCATTTTTCACAGCATTGCTCCCCATTTAATGTATTTGTATCTTCAAAACACAGGTAAATCATGGAAGAAGTTGGACAATAAAAATTAGCGAAGGATTGGCTGAAGAAAGGCACGTCAGCAGGTTTTACCTTCGAGAAAAAAACAGAAGATAGGAGGAAAAGTGGTGAGCAGTGACTTGAGTGAAAAGGACATTTAACTGTAAAAATAGTGTAATCTTTGTGGGATTCTTTGCCTGCCAATGCCCAGGCATTGATAGTGGTAGCCACCACACTATCAAGGACAAAGAAACATGATCATGTATTATATTTGTTGATTTCAACTTAAAATTTGGTTATGGGAGACCCCTTTTTTCCTTTATGTTTTAAAATTAATGCCGGCGTGCTAAAGATGTAGTTGTTATAGGTCTCTGAGTACTTCTGTTGGTGAAAGTGTGACATATTTCAAATTTATTGATGACTATTTGAATTAATACACATGACATTTGTCTAATTGTTTAAGCTTTTCAGATGAGATAGTTAAGTTTTTATAAACTCGGAAGATTTTAATTTCAAGTTTTGTCTTCACGCATCTATGAAAAAATTGTGTGCTTGTTAGTCTTTGATTTTATTTACATCATTGTCTTTCATTTGACGCACATGTGACTAAGCATGATGAAGACATAAATGGTTACACATAATTTATCTTTATCAACTTAAGTTTTTAGATATAAATATTTCATGTCTATGATATAGTTTTTAACTTAGTCCATGTTTGGTGGGGATTAAAATCAGATTTTTAATATCGTTTGATAAAAATTAATGAAACATATAGTTAGAAAGTTATTAATGTGATGAAATGTGATGTTAAAATTAATTGTTTATTTTGATTTAAATTTTAATTTAATTTTAATCCCTGCCAAACAAAGCTTAGAGTGAAAAAAAAGAAGAAGCAAGTTTTCTCTAATTAATTGTTGATGTTGAAGTCTCAAAAAGTGTGTGTGTAATTTCATTTTCTTATATAGGACGATATTGAGAAAGGTCTCTTTTTGAATGTAATGACCATACATTTATTGAATCATAGATTGGACCAAAGTGTAGACATTTTGCGGGACCACCATGTTTGGTATAGATTAAAATCATAATAAAATTTAAGTCAAAATCAACGATTAATTTTAACTATACATTTTATGGAATTTACAACTTTTCAACCATACATTTCATCAACATTTTCTAAAATCTACTAAAAATATGATTTTAATATTTACCAAACAGGTGCTTAATATAACTTCTAGAGTATTTTGATTTTTCTATATTTGAAATGTGCATTTAGAAATATCATAGTTTCGCTAATTCTCGAGTCAGAATTGCTTGTCCGTTTTCAACTTTTAAATACAATTGTACAATCAATTTTTATAACAAATACCATTCAAATCTCCGTTAAATTGTTATGTAGCCCTTGTACAATCAACTTTAAGAAAGGTAGAATTCTTCGAGTTTTGTCTTGATAGATTCGCCTTCTTAAAGTTCGTCTTGTCGAGGTCAAGTGACGATTTTGCAGAATTTTGGATTGTTTTTGTTGTCGAGGATCAACTTGCAACTTGGGTAATAAATTAAGGACCAATAATGCAATTTCCCCGAACGTCTTTTATGAAAATTCTACTTTCTTTGTGTTTGGCTGTGTTTCTTGATTTCACATTTTTTAAAATTATTTTTTCCACTTCAAATTTATTAAAACTAATATGTTGGTTTCGAATGCGTCCTTTTCATTGCTATATCTTAAAATCGAACACATCATTGCAAAGAACTTATGTAGTCATCTCAAAATCAGTCACTGTTTGAGCCACATTAAAATTTTCATTCTCATTATTCTACTCATTTTCAACCACACATTCTTCAATAAAATAATATTTTTCATCACATCAATAGTTTTTCGTTCTTTTTCAATCACACATTCTCCATCAATCTACTATTCCAAAATAATGCAGCTCAAACACACCCTTAATTATAAATAAGACTTACACGTAGTTATTGCTTTATACTTATTCGACCAAAATATTATGTTTCAATGGGGTAGTTGAACCTCCATATTAATCAATTAAATAGTTAATTCAATAAGGTGGATGGTAGAAAATAAGAATATCAAAAAATGTAACTTTTTATATTTCTCAATACTATATATCAAAGAGAAATATAGCGCCTTTTTGGCCCTATTATTTCATATTATAATGAGAGGTATAGTAATTATTTTAAAAATATATTGTTAAAAAAGAAGAAAAAATAATTGAATTTACGTATAATATTATTTTATTAAAAAATATTTTGTTGATAAGAAAAAAGAGAAAAATAAATTTTTATTTAATGGGGTCAAACTAGGGAAAAGTGTCTCATTCCCTTTAATAAATACTATTTTGAAAACATGACTAGACTAGTGCATGTGTCCATACCTAACGACTTCTGGATGCTTTTAGTCCATCCGTTCTCTATATTAATTGAGCAGAGAATTTAGAAACTCAAAATATATTATTTCAAAATTCATTTTCAACCAAATATTTTTCAATAAAATAATATTTTTCATCGTATCAATAACTTTTCTTTACTTTTTAACCACATATTTCTCATTATATCACTATTTAAAATGCATTTTTTCCCAATAATATACAGCAAACATATCCTTATAATTAAATACGGACATTGAAGCTTTTTAATCAAATTATTAATGGATTCTTCTGTTTGCTTTATGTCAACTTGTAATAAATACTATGGTCACTTCTCAAAACCCTTTGTTCGTATCCTTTTTCGCCTTTTCTTTCTATGTAATGACAATTAGTGGGTGTTTGGTGAGAATTAAAATTAAATTTTTAGTAAATTGTAATATAAATTTTTGAAATGTATGATTGAAAAATTATGAGACCTATGAAAGATGTAGTTAATATTGATTGTTTGACTTAAATTAAAATCTGATTTTAATCCAAAACAAACATGACCTTAATTGAATGATAAAGGCAATGACAACAATTCATATCTTATTCTCGATAAATCTTACAAGAATCCGATGCACAATTAACGATGCTTTTCTCTTCCTAAACCCAAAGAGTCAAAAGTAAAGCATATCAATTTCATGGCTTAACCCCCACTCCTTAAGAAATAAGGAAAATGAGCTTTATTGATTTCATCCATGGGTTCTATCCCTAGGTAGGAATAGTTTACAGTGGAAGGGTAATTGAATTAGAATCTTGTTCTAAAACATTTAAAGTCAATTACATGAATTCTTTTAGATCAAAACAAATTCAATCTCATTCTCAATAAATTTCAAGTGGAAAAATCTCATTTTCCTATCCCACCATTCTTATCTTTTTTGTTTGTCATGTCATATCATCTGAAAAATATAATCTTGTTTGTATTTGAAAACAAGAGGTGGAATCTACTTTCAATTAGATAAGGCTTATCTTTTCTAACACTTGGAAACAGGTAGTTAAGCTTCTTAATCGCCAATTCAATTCATACTCGGTGGATTGAAAGAAAAAGGTGAATATATAGGACAACCATTTACATCCAATTTGTTTTGAGATTATGACTAGTCAGATAGGACGCTAGTATGTGTGATCATGAGAAAAGCTCCATGTTTGACATGACTTTTAAAAAATCAAAAGTTGAATCGAAATTAAAAAATTATTTTTGAACATATTTAGATAATTTTCAAAAACTACTTTGTCTATCTAGAACTGAAGAGCTTTCTAACATATGCTGACCTAATGTAACTGTTGACATACAAAAAATAAGGCCCAATTGAATGAGGCATAATGATCAAATGAGGTCCAATTATTAAGGGGAAAATTAGGCCCACTACCTCCCAAAAATAACTAATTTGAATAATACCCTATAAACTAATTAAATAACTTAATCACATAATTAATACTTTCTAACTATCAAAACCACAAAACCCAATTCAAATTCCCGATACCCAAAAATCTGGTAACATCCATGACATCTTTTTTCTTCATACTTATTGAGAAAATTAAGCTTATTCTTCGGTTCCAATTACGGGAATTTCGTGCATTTTTTCATTTATTTCAATAGATTATTTTCACACTTGAAGTATTTTTCCTGCAATTATTGCATTGTTAATTTTTCAGTACTACTACTACGATGCAATCGGGTGAGATGATATCCTTGGTTCCTTGTTTTAGTTTTATAATTCCGTTGAATTGATTAATATATGTAACTCAAGTGTTATTTGCAGCAAAAAAAATATATGTATGGTGTTATATTACTTCATTTTC